TGTGTGTGTGTGTGTGTGTGTGTGTGTGTGTGTGGCCTTTACCGTATGACACACAACACATCCCTTCTCGCCGTTTGACTTTAGTAAGCAGCTTATCTGTCTTGTGCGTTGGTCTGTCTCAGGCTCTAACCTTTCGCTGCTCGTGCAGACAAAGAACTGTTTTTTGCCGCCCCTCGATAAGACAGGAGACAAAAGTAGCTCTTAAAGCAGCCGTGTCTCTAATGGCGTCCTGTAAGAACGTGTTGCCGGAGCGACAGGCTTTCTCCTGCGGTGATCTGGGAGTAAATGTGGAAGGTGGAACACAGAAAAGTAGGAGAATGAGGCCGTGTAAACATCCAGTCTCAGCAGAGTGCTAAATAAACGGGGAGAGCCTGGCAATCTTTGTATGGTTTGTTGTTTTTTTWATTTATTTWTTTTGTTCCTGCTCTCATAAACACATGAGATCAAAAGTTTTGATATTTCCCAGAAACTTGTGCCTTTTTTAAAAAAAAAGTCTTGTATATTTGATCAGACCGTAGCTATGAGTTTTGTATTCGTGGTGTTCAGACATTTGTTTGACAACTTGTCAGACGCAGTTCACATATGAATTTTTAAATTGTGTCACATGTAGAAAACAGACGCAGCGAAGTAAACAAAACAAACTGATGGCGATATCCTTCAAATCTTTGCATTTTTAAATGTATTTTTCTTTTCTTTTTTTTCTTCAGCTGAAAAGATGATTGGTGATACGTTGCTGAGAACTACCGACCGCTGAAATTCTTCAGGCCTCCCATCCTCCTACTGCTGCGCCTTGAAGCTCTATTAGCAACCACCAGACCTCTGAATTGTTCGGACACAGCAACACGATGGCCTCTGCACTGTGGAGGTGTCCGGTGTTTCGCTGCCTCCTGCTCCTTCTCGTTTGCTTTCACTGCTCACAAGGTGAGTACCCACAGAGGTTGCACGACAAGAAGTAGTTTTAATGCCATTCTAGTCCACTTTTAAAGAGGCTATTTATCACTCAGCGTTGAATTTATTAGAGTGCATTGTTGGGGCCATGTTTAACAATTGACGTTAATATATATATATATATATCCTTGATATAAATTTAATTCAGTTATGTCTTTGTTTCCAGAGAAAACTTCTCCAAAAACCAATGTTTCAAAATCCTGGTTTTAATTTTGCTGAGAATTCTTTTATTCTCTTATTTTTCTACTTTCGTATAGTTGATCTGAACAGCCTGAGTGCTTAAAGCTTCCAAAAAGTTGGAAATAATTTGGTTCTGTTTTAAKTAAAACCTCCCTCTTTTCTTCTTTCTTGTTTTCTTTTCTTTTCCTCCTTTTTGATCAGCACATTTGGCTGTAATTACACATGTTGTGACAAAACACTCCCATCAGTTATATGCCCATCAGAACCACTGATGTAGTGACGTGTGTCTGCATTAATAATGCTCATTTCCTTTCCCCCCCCTCCCTTTCAGTCCCTTTGAACGGGAAACAAAGTAACCTAAAATCACATGGTTGTGTGCCAGGCGTTTTTTTACAGATAGACAATGAGGCACATTATTTAAAGGGGGTTTCATTTTCAATTTGGGTTTTGCATTATTTCTCCCTCTTACTGTTTTGCTCCTGAGATAGATTTKTTTTCCAGTATTATTTTAAGTCTTGCTGTGGTGTACAGTTTGTTAACAAAGGCAATTTGCAGCAGAACAGGCTGCCCCAGCAGTATTTCAAGCAGAGATATTTTGTTGTTAGATTAGTCATTTCAGGCAATATGGAAGAGAAGCTATCTTGAAAAATAGACCTCTGATTTGGTCTGGCTTGGAAACCGAGTTGAATAGTCTTGTTGAGTTTTTGTAAAGAGGAATACTGCTTTGGTATGCAGAAAGTGCAGGTTTTGGGTTTCAGTTGATGTGAGGGCTCTCAGACCCAAGAATGCATATTTGCCCATCGGTCAATAAAGGAACATATGTGTATGTGTGTGTGTGTGTGTGTGTGTGTGTGTGTGTGTGTGTGTGTGTGTGTGTGTGTGTGTGTGTGTGTGTCCATCTGAAAACAATATCTGACTTTATCCACATGCCACTCACCTTCAGCCTGCCGAGCCCTGAGGGGCTGCATCCTGCCGCTTATGATCTTTGTTTCCATCAGCATCCCTGCAATGCAAACTCCACTTGATAATTACCTCCTTTCCCTCACCAGGAGCAGCTATAATCAGGTTATGATTTTCACCCAAAACATACCTCACGCTTTGAAATTCACACTGACATACCTGAACATTTTTTTTGCTTCTGAGGTTTTTTTTTTTTTTTTTCTGGTGGGAGAAAAAAAAAGTTTAGTTTCTTTTTTTTTATTCAGGCACATTTTGTGCATACTAAAAAAGTGTTAGCTGAACAAAAATTAASTGTGCACACAAGTATGAGGTGAAATCATCTAGCAATAGAAACGGCTGTTTTCTTTACCTGCTTCGTTAAAAGACGCATGGTTGGTGATATTTCTCTCATTTTAAATAGTTTTAACACCATTCCTTGTCTTTCAATGTGTATGGGTCCAAAAAAAAAAAAGAAAAAGAAGAAAAAGAGCAGAAAGCAAAACTTTGAACAGCCTGCATGATCAGTTCTAGCAACTTTTTTTGACACATTCACAGTTTGTGAATGATTTTTGCTTCAAGATAATTGTTTCTCAGCTCTTTTATTTCTCTCTTTTCTGAGTTTTTTTTGTTCACTGTTCCTGCAAAAGACTTCAAAGAAATTTTGGGTTTTGTTCAGMACACTTTTTTTAGTTTGTCTGCTCGTTTAAAAAGTCTGTGATGCTGGAGGGCAAAACCTTCAGCTTGCAGCTCATGAGGTTTATTGTTTTAAACTAAGAAAAATTGTATATTTTTCTGTGTTCAGCATTTTTATTAAACATGTTATATTTGCTTCTGATTTACTGATTTTTGAGTCTGTTTTTCTTGCTAGACATATTTGYCATATGCCTGTGGCATCAACAATAGCCCAAAGCATTGATAATTGTTTTTTTATACAATTCTGCACCTTTTTTCCTAAGACATATTACTAATWGCTAGCTAGACATTTCTTTTTTTATCATCAGGCCACAGAACTTGTCTGCAAAATGCTTAAGTTTTGTTCAGTGGTTCATTTGTAAACTTGAAATTTATGGCTTGTGTGGAGGAAAGATTTTCTTCTGTTGGTTTTTGTATTAAGGCTGTATTTGTTCAGCTTTAGATGCACAGCAGAACATCGCTCAGGCACAACAGAGTCTGCTGGATTTTGCTGAAGGTCTTCAGCTGTCAAAGGGTGGGGGGTTGATTTCTCTGTCTAACAATTCTTCTAGCAGTTCTTTTGGAAAAATGCCACCCTCCATTTTTTATTTTTTTGCATCTTCACACCTCCACCGTTCTTGTTACCTGCCATTTTTTAATTTGATTACAGTCAGAGGAAAAGGCTACCTGAACACATCTTCACTCAATTCTTCAGCTTTGTGGGCATCAATTATTTTAATTGTCAGAGTGCTTGGCAGCTGCTCGCGGGAGCCCATGGCTGCTGATTGCTTGGACAGAGTTTGAGGAGGACAGAAATTAGAAATTTCATCACCTGGGGTTTACTAATGCTGAGTGTGAAGAAGCTGTTGCACTAACAAGCTCATTAAGGTCTGAGACCTCGGTAAATTAACTGAGAAGTCAACTGTTTTTAATCGAAAGTTGTAAAACATAAACAGAATTATTGCTTAAGATGATGAAAAGATCATTTTTCTCATTAACTTTAGACACTTTTTGTGCATTCATTCATTTTTCTAATCACGGCAGCAGAAAATGTACTTGCTAACATAATAACAAATGCATTTAATCAAGCCCAGACCATTTCCATATTCTCTCCTATTTAACATTCAAAGTCAAATATTGGACCAATATCCATATTTTGAAGGTAACAATGTGAAAAATTGCTTTTTCTAGCCTGTAACGTGGCTATTAGGATGGATGTGCGCACGATCTGCAGCTTTGTTAGCTTTGCAAAGCTTTGTAACAAGTTTCAGCTCATTGTTCAGCTGCCCCGTTCAATTAATTTTATGTTTTGTGCACTTTCCCCGCTTTTATAATGTTTTCATCTYCTCTTAGCACAGAAAAAAAAACAAGCAAAGAAACAGAGATGAATGTACCGTGCACTTCTTGCTCAGTGCCACCCAGCTAGCTGCCATGTGGTGAACATAGTGGAGCACTTAGCAGCAAAGAAGCCCGTTTATCCCACAGGACCCGGTTGGAACCTAAAACAGCACTAAAGGAACAGGAGGTATTGGATTTAAATGTAGATACAAAGTTGAAAACAAACATAATCTATGTGGGAAGAATTTTTTTTAATCCAGCCCTGAAATAAAAGCTTATCAGTGCAACAATGAAATCCACTGCAGAGAGGTAATTACTCAAGATAAATAGATAAAACTACTGTGACGGATCAAATTATTTGAGACTAATTGCGTTTCAAATCTATTTTGAATTAGTCAAACCATTTTAGTGTTTAAAGTTTTGCCGTGTGCTCTGTCTCGGCTCAATGATTTGTAGTCCAGTTCTTCCGGGTCCTTGTACCATTTTATAACCAATTCATAAAGCGATGCTTCTGTCAGAGTAAAGTAGGTCATGCAGGTATCGGAATTGTTGTATATCTTTCAGCCCACTGAGCCGCCCAGTCTAAAGATATGAAAGACGACCAGACTCAAAAGGAGCAGCCACAAAGGTGGAGCAAGTGCACAGTGGCATATCTGCTGTCAGTGAATGGGAGCTGTTATCTAAGTCATTAAAGAAAAGAAAGACAGATTTGGGAGGAGGTTGTGTCACACAATGTCAGCACATCTTTTTGTAACAATACCAAATGAAGACGTGGCACCTTGAGCAACATAGCCAAATGTTGAATGAAAGTCTAATTGGTTTGTTGCTTCTAACTGTTAGAGATTATTGTCGAAAGGAAATAGTAATATAGTATATGCTGTTAAGTGTCAGGAGGACTGTGATCAGTTATACATTGGGGAAACAAAACAGCCACTGTTCAAAAGAATGAGCCAGCACAGACGAGCTACATCATCAGGTCAGGACTCTGCAGTTTACACTCATCTACAGGCCAGCGGTCACTCTTTCAGGGATGAAGATGTTCTCATCCTTGATAGAGAGGAAAGTTGGTTTGAGAGAGGAGTAAAGGAAGCCATCTTTGTGAAAAAAAAATGTCCACCATTAAACAGAGGTGGAGGCCTTCATGTCCAGTTGTCCTCCTCCTACTATGCTGTTATTGCAAATATCACTCAGTCCCCTGTGAGCAAAAGGTGTGAATCAGGGCCCCATCGATAACCAACACAAATAGGGAACGAGAGACAAAAACAAGGGGACATTGAACCCCACTTGCATTCACTACATTCACATAACAAAACACCAAATWACCACAACCGAAGCATTCAAACCAATAAGTCAGGTGATGGGGCACATGACCCTCTATGAACATTAGAGCTAATCAAGCCTATTGTTAGGCGATGGCCCTCTTTTGCATGTGACCAACCTGTTTGTACACCATGTTGAGGCAGTGCTTTAAGGCTGAGATCACCTGAAACTCATCAGAATGAAGAAGTCTCTTGGAGGAGAGACGAAACGTTTCACTTAAGAAGAACCCCATCCAGAGGACCTACTTATTTTTGATTTTTAATTTTTTCCCCCTGGATTACTGAGATGCATCYYGARACGTAGAAAGGAAGTGTTTGTTAGTGTCCCAGAAAAGTTGCTCCAGCATTAGTAAAATATGTGGAAAGACTTCCCGCACTGAGTGATGAACCGAAAAGTATCATTTACYAGATGTTTTGCTCCATCCTTTCGGCCACGCTTCTGCCTCTCTCTGAAGGCGATTTTGTCGATAGTGAAAGTTCCCTCCGTTGAACGCACCAGCGTGCTCGTGTTCCCCACACCACAGA